CAGTAAAGGGGGCAATCAGAAGGGAGCTGGCCCACCTAGCAATGCCCTGACTAATGCTGCTGCTGCTGCTACTACCTCTACTAAATGATACAATGAGGACTCATGTGATTTAAAAGCAGAGCCTGATTTAGTGGTGAAGTGTTTACCTGGCATGCATTATGCCCTCAGTTGGAACCCAGCACCATTATGTCCCACTCTGGTGACCAAACGTCATGAGTTTCCCTGATTTTCTTCATAGCTTTGTGTAGCACCAGTGCTTTAGCAATGTTAATTGTTAACTCACTGTGCCCACACCTTTCTGTTTTTTGTTTGTTTGTTTGTTTTTGGTTTTTCAAGACAGGGTTTCTCTGTATTGCTTTGGAGCCTGTCCTGGAACTCACTCTGTAGATCAGGCTGGTCTCGAACTCACAGAAATCTACCTGCCTCAGCCTCCCGAGTGCTGGGAGGAAAGGTGTGTGCCTGGCCTCTGTTTGTTTATTATTATCTTCTTGTGCATTTCAATAACATTTCATCGTTTTCAATGCATGTGTCTTTTACCTCGCTGCTTGTATTGAGCCAACAATATTTCATTATTTTGTATGCTATTATTATAAGTGAGGTTATTGTTTTAATTTCTTTTTAAAATTGTTCCTTACTGGTATATAGAAAGACACTGAAGACTGACCTTTGTGAGATGATCTTAGGCACCCTGATGAGCCTATTGTTGGGCTTCTTTTGGGGGGGTGGTTGAGACAGGGTCTCTCTGTGTAGCTCTGGCTGTCCTGGAACTCACTCTGTTGACCAGGCTGGCCTAGAACTCAGAAATTCACCTGCCTTGCCTCCCAAGTGCTGGAATTAAAGACATGCACCACCACACTGGCTGGACTTGTTCATAAGAAGTTACTTTTTATACTCAGCATCCTGTAAGAATCATTCATGCTGCAAAACATTTATTTCTGTTGTATGGTAGTCTACATATGAAGAATCCATTATTCATCTCTTGTCCTGGTGATAGAGAGCGGAGCTATTTCCAGTTTTTCACAATACAACCTTGTTGTTTTATACATCACAGTGGGGAGGTTCTCAGCTGAGACTGTACATAAGAATTATCTCTCTGGGAAACCTTTTACAACTAACAGAAACAAACCTATCTCCAGAGGTGCCGGTACTGATTTAAAGTATGGGTTAGGGGCCAGGGGTTTGGGGGAGTGGGTTATTTATTTGAGACAGCTCTCACGATGTTCTCAACTCCTGGGCTCAACCAATCCTTCTGCCATAGTCTCCTAAGTATCTGGGATTACCTGCCACAGCATCCTGATTTATTTGTTTTCTAATCGGGGGTCTCACTTTGTGGCTCTGGCTGGCTTTGAACCCACAATCTGCCTGCCTCTACCTCATAAATGCTGAGTGTATAGGCGTGTGCCATCATCTCGGGCTTTATTCCCCCCCAATGCACTGGTGTTTTGCCTGCATGTGTGTTTGTGTGAGGGGGTCAGATCCCCTGGAGCTGGAGCTCTGGACAGCTGTGAGCTGCCATGAGGGTGCTGGGAATTGAACCCTGGTCCTCTGGAAAAGAAGACTATGCTCTTAACAGAAGACTATGCTCTTAACTGCTGAGCCATCTCTCCAGCCCCCATCCATGTAGGACTTTGTTAGGCATTTTAAAAAGATTTTTAAATAACACTAATGTTCTATCTGTGTGGAGAATTATTATTCTAGACTATATACTTAGGACTAGATGTTTACTCCCAGTTTTCTTTGATGAATGGTTTTCTGGTGTGACTGTGTACCTGGTCAGCACAGCAAAGTCCTACTGCCACCAAGCACTGCGAAAATGCCACATCTCTAGCAGCACCTGACATTGTCAAACTCCAGTTAATCTCTCACGGGTTTTGAATTTTTCATTTTCCTGCTCAGTAATTAATTTTGCCGGGTAGTGGTGGCACACACCTTTAATTCCGGCACTCCAGAGGCAGAGACCGGTGGATCTCTTAGTTTGAGGTCAGCCTGGTCTACAGAGTTCCAGGATAGCCAAAGCTACAGAGAGAAACCCTATCTCGAACCCCGCCTCCAAATAAATTAATTTTAATTTTTCAGCATCCCCACCCCCTAGCAGAACTGAATCCAAGGCCTCATGCATGTTAAGCACACACTCTATCAATGAGTTTCACCCTCAGCAAACTTTTCACATTTATTGACCATTCTTGTTCCCTCCTCTGTCCAATCCCTACTGGTATCTTGTTCTCTTATCTGTACATTTCATATTCTGGGCTGAGTCATTTACATGCATGTTCATGGAGGGGTTTTCTTGTTTATGTATGTAGGTACACGAGAGTGTTGGGGGACCATATGTGCATGTATGTGTAGAGGCCATAGGTTGAAGTTAATGTCTTCCTGGCTGGATCTCCACTTGTCTATTGAGGCGGGTCTTTCACTTGAATTGTAGCTAGGTAGCTCAAGGCGTTCTCAGACTTTGCCTCCAGGAGCTGGAATTGCAGGCAAATACCAGATGGACACCTGCAATTTCCTGAGTCCTTTTGCCTGCACTGTAGCCTCGCTCGCTGAGCATCTCCTCCACTCTTTTCTCACTCTAGTTTAGCATTTTCAATTTGCCATGGATACATTGTCTACTTATTTTTAAATATAATTTAATTATTAATCCTTTTTGCCTAGTTAAGGTCTCTATTGCTGTGATAAACACCATGACCAAAAGCAACCTGGGGAGGAAAGGGTTTATCTGGCTTACACTTCCACATCATAATCCATCATTGAAGGAAGTGGGAGCTGATAGAGAGGCCAGGCCATGGAGGAGTTCTACTTACTGATTTCCTTCCCGTGGCTTGCTCAGCCTGCTTTCTTATAGAACCCAGGGCCACCAACCACGAGATAGCACTTTCTCATAAATCACTAATAAAAAGAAAATGCCCTATAGGTGTGCCTACAGCCCAATCTTATGGAAGCATTTTCTTAATTGAGGTCCCCTCCTCTTAGAAGGACGTCTACAGAGACAGTTCCAGGACAGCCAGGGCTACACAGAGAGACTCTGTTTTGAAAACCAAAAGAAGGAGAGAAAAAGAAAAAGAAAAGATGGTGCCAGCAATGTCCTGTATATGTTTCTCTTATTGGTTGATGAATAAAACACTGATTGGCCCATAGCCAGACTGGAAGTATAGGCAGGGCTAGAAGAGGAGAATGCTGGAGAGAGACACAGCGATTGGCTGCAAGAAAGAAGCCATGTAGCTGCTGAGAGTAACGTGCTGGATCATTACAGGAAAGCCACAGCCTTGTGGCAATACACTGTTTAATAGAAATGGGTTAATAATTTAGAGAGCTAGCCAATAAGAAGCCTGAGTCATCAGCCAAACAGTTTCTAATTAATATAAGTCTTTGCGAGTTCATTTGGGGCTGAAGGGCGGCAGGATCAGGTAGAACAGAAACTCCATCTACAAAAAGAACTTTTTCATTTTTATTTTAAGCCTATGATTGCACGCACAACGGCACACCCATGAGCATGCAGTGCCTATAAAGGCCAGAAGGGGGCAACCGATCCCCTGAGACTGGAAACCCAGGAGTTTGTGACCCGGAAGTCTGTGGGGGTGCTGGGATCAAACCCGGACCCTCTGGGAAGGGCCCGTGCTCTTAACTACTGAGCCATCTCTCCAGATACTGCCCCCACCATTTTATGTTTTTTCAAGCAGGATCTCACTGTGTAATATATGTTTGCCTTAAACTCATAATCTTCCTGTCTCACCCTCTCAAGTGCTGAGATTATCAGCATGCCCATGATAATAGTTTTTCTGCCATTAAAAAAAAATAAAATAAAATACTCATGACCTTGAACTAATCAAAATTATGTTTATTTAAAATGTTAGAGTTTTACTTTTCATGTTTCTTTAATTCATATGAATTGACTTTCTGTAGGCAATGTGCAATAGGGCTCCAATTTCATTTTTAAGACAAGGTTTCTCTTTGTAACAATCTGGCTGTCCTGAAACTCACTCTGTAGACCAGGCTGGCCTTGAACTCACAGTGATCTGCCTGCCTCTGCTTCCCGATTGCTGGGATTAAATAAAGGCGTGCACCACCACTGCCCGGCCAGTGTCATTTCTTTTTCCAGTGGTTGCCTGATTTAGTGGCAGTCAGAGTGAGCCACACCATTCTCCTCCCATCTCCCCAAGTGCAACATGTCCTCTGACAGACAAGGTTTATGTATGTGCTGGCCAGTTTTATGTTAATTCCCCGTTTGCAGACTTTTTTCTATACATCTCTGTCTTCTTTAGAAATATTTTGGTCATCACATACTGGCAGCCAAACAGGTTTCTGTTTCCCATAGGTTTGAATATTTTATTAGAAAATGGGGGATGTGTTGCAGCACATCCTTTTATCAGCATATAATTTGTAAAAGGTTCAGGTTTCAGATTGGGCCAGCTCTCAGCAACCAACCCCCAGGGTAAAGGACAGATTTTTAGGACAAAAATAGAACCTTCACAATCCAGAAAGCATTGGAGATTGTGTTAGAAATGGAGAAGTGCAGGTTTAGATAAGTCCATTTTACAGACGAGGACAGTCCAGTTCTCAGGGCCACTATGGCTCTGTATGGCTTGTTCAGCCTCCTGCCCCTAGCCCTTCTCCCTTGCTCCTTAAAAACCCTCTGCTATTTGATTTTATAAAGAAACGCTGACTCGGAGGAGGATGTGACATAGCCTTGGCCACACCGTGGGTCCAGGCCCCTACGCCTCCCTTGTTCCTGCCTTTCTCTGGTCCTGCGACTACCCAGCACCTGTCTCCACTGACAACCTGGCAATCTCTCCAGAGCCTTCTGCTGTCGGTGATCGCGGGCCCGATGTCAGCAGCCCCCGCCGCCTGCACTAGGGCTCTCAGGGACCACTAGGGGGCGCGCGGAGTTGCCAAACACCCGGCTCACCCTCCTGGCGCCCCGCCCCTCCGGCCGCGGCTCCTCCCCTGCCGGCGCCCCGCCCCGTCCGGCGCGGCCTCGCTCTCTCGGTTCTCCCGGTGCCCCGGACTGCCCCAGTCCACGGCCTCCCTAGCTCTTCGCTCTGACCATGGGCCCTGCCGACCGCCCCGCGCTGAGATCGCCACCGTCGCCGCCACCTCCTCCATCGCCGCCGTCGCCGCTTCTTCTGCTGCTGCCCCTGCTGCCTCTATGGTTGGGCCTGGCGGGGTCCGGGGCCGCGGCAGATGGCAGCGAGCCGGCGGCCCCGGGCGGGCGGGGCGGAGCCCGGGCAGTGCGAGTGGATGTGAAGCTGCCGCGGCAAGACGCCCTGGTTTTGGAGGGCGTCAGGATCGGTCCTGAAGCCGGCCCAGAGCCTCTGCTGGGCGGTCGTCTGCTGTTGGTGAGCGCAACCCTGCCAAAACATGCCATGACCCTCGCATAGATCCGGCTCCTCAGAATATGTCCTAAAGCAAGCAAGCCCTTGACAGCCCAGGCTTTCGCAGACCTGAGATCCACATGCCCCTTCCAAACTCATTCCCCCGACCTTGCATACTGTGGCAGACCCTGGCTGCCTCTTGCATTCCGTCTTCTCATGACTCCTCACACAGATGGATGTCGTGGATGCTGAGCAGGAGATACCTGTGGACGACTGGATTGCAGTGGCATATGTGGGCAAAGAACAGGCTGCCCAGTTTCACCAGGAGAACCAAGGCAGTGGCCAGAAGGCATACCCCAAGGCCCTGGTCCAGCAGGTGCAAAGGACTTTTGGAGGGAAGGGGAGAAAGGAAATGTTTTCAAAACATCATTTAGAGCCAGGCTACCTGGTGACCTATGGGGAACCTTCCAAAGAAAGCCTGGCCTTGAGTCAGGAGACCCCAATATGGGGCGTCAAAGCAATACGATGGGGAGACAGAAAGAGGGGGAAGGTTTGCTGGGGAAAGAGGGTCTTTGCTCAGAATACATGATGGGAGTCAGCAAGGGTGGCGAGAACTGCTTTGCCAGGACTAGGGCAAATGACAAGATGTTTTGGATCCTAGAGAACAGGAGTTTCACACACACACACACACACACACACACACACACAGAGAGAGAGAGAGAGAGAGAGAGAGAGAGAGAGAGAGAGAGAATGTGCAAATTTCTTAAAATCGAGGATATCCTTAGGTAACTATGGTATCTGAAATTAGAAAAGTTAACATCTCTAAAATGTATTCTATGCCTCTAATTAAATATTGCTTCAGTCTACAACCATCAAGTGTTACTTATGGCTGTCATCTCTCTTCAGTTTTAGCTTTGGAATGCTTGAGGGATCTTATGGCTAGTCTGTCCAGCAGTCAGACTCCTGAGAACTGGGGCCACGGGCAGGTGTGGCAGCCTCTTACCTTCTGTCTTCCCTTGCAGATGCGCCGTGCCCTCTTCCTGGGAGCCTCTGCCCTGCTTCTCCTCATCCTAAACCATAGTATGGTTCGAGAGGTAAACTGGAATGGACTGGAGGGTGAGCAGGTAAGGGGATGAGGACCAAAGCCTGCTGACCTCCCTGTCTCCTGCAGTTGGACATATCCCAGCTTCTGCTCAGGCCAGTAATTGTCCTCCATTATTCTGCCAATGTCACCAAGCTCTTGGAGGCACTTCTTCAGTGAGTTGGGTTTATTTTGGGTGGTCTGCTGCCTGGGTGCTGAGTCTCTGGCTCACCAGTGGGCTCCAGGGGAGGAGGGTGTCTCTGGAGAGGGTCCTTACCTGGCCTGTTAGCCCTTAAACCACTGTCCAAGGGTGAAAACAGGAAGAGATGGCAAAGAGGCGGCGGGATCTGGGAAGGGAGTTGCCCTATGGGCAGAGGGACTAGCTCAGCCTGAGGAAGCTGGATACCTGGTTGACAGGCAGTTTCTTGGTCTCGCTGGGTGAGAACCTGGGAAAACAGCCAGGAAAGGTCTGGGAGCCGAACCGGAAGGCTACAACAGCAATATCCTGGGATATCTACTGCAGAGCCAGGTAGATGAATCTGGACCTCCCTTCCCATGGTTCTTCCTCTCAGGAGGACCCAGGCTACTGCTGAGATCACCAGCAGAGAGTCCCTGTCAGCCAACATCGAGTGGAAGCTGACATTGTGGACTACGTGTGGCCTCTCCAAGGACAGCTATGGAGGCTGGCAGGACTTGGTGTGCCTGGGAGGTGGTCAGGCCCAGGAGCAGGTAGGTGGATCCTACAACAGCCTTGCATGTCTTAGAGCCGATTACTTAGTCATATGGTACAGCAGACACTGACCATGACACTTGGCCTAGAGTCGTAGGCAACGGTAGGCTCTGTCATATTGCCTTCTGCTCTCTACTTGTCACTTTCATTCTCCATTGGGGAAAGGACCCAGGGCCATGTGCATGCTAAGCAAGGGTTCTTCTGCAGAGCCTCGCCCACACTGGTCCTTTACTTCTAAGTTCTGGCTACCTTGCATTACTCACCAGCTCCCATACACGCCCTGACCTCCTGCCTCTGGGCCTTGCCCCTGATTGGCCCTTAGTGTTCATTCCCCTTTTGAGTCCTTGGCTAATAGAACTTTCCTGGCTCATCCTGCCCTCCTGCTTTGGACTCTCCAGTCCTCTGCTCACAGGCTTACTCTGTCTGCTCAGTGATAGCTAGGCTCTGCCGGGGTTTCTCAGCATTCTGAGGAGATCCAGCCCGGTATGTTAGTGACTTTGTGTCCTCGTGGCTAGGGCTGTGTCTTGTGTCCACATAGCCCCGTGTTTAGCTTCCAGGGTTTCAATCCACAGCATGTCTTGAACTGCAGTATATAAGTTATGGGGAGGAAGACATACATTGTCTCTTAGTGTGCAGCCTTCGGTGCTTGGTGACAAGGGCCACACTGAGGATTTTGAAGTCAGACAAGTTAAAACCCTGGCTCTCAAACCTTAGCTCAACAACCACAGGCCAAGTGTTTTCATGTTCTCCCCATACAGTCTCTCCCCCACTGGGGTGGACCACACAGACCTCTGGTGAGGGGGGGCATTTGGTGAAGGGTAGGGGGAAAGGTTACATCTGGAAGAAGAATAGGCTGGGAAAGGGCTCTGACGGCCTGGAAGTGAGAATATACAGTGCTTAGGACAGGCTGGCAGGGACAGAGGAAAAAGCTCAACAGCTGCAAAGGGACTACCAGCCAAGTTGGCGGTGACCATGGCAGATGAGACATCCAAATGATAGCTGGCCAGGCTGCTCATGGAGTTTCCCTGATGGACAATGGACACCAAGCCTGGTCCCAGGCCCAGCGACCACCCTGAGCTGGTAATCCAGAAACTATGCTGGACAGCACTCTGGCTACTCTGAGAGGGAGGGGGGAGGATGCTGCCCGTCCTCTCCCTACCTCAGGTTTCAGAGCAGCTCTGCCTTGGTGGCCATTTGGCATGTCCTGCTGACTGGCCTGCCCCATTGTAGGACAGGACACAACACAGTAGCCCCAGCCCAGACTCCGGCTGGGGAGCAGATAGATACTGTCATTCTGTAGGGGTGAACCTCAAGCTAGCAGTAGGTACAGATCCCCTTCCAGATCACAGCAAAAACACCTGAGCCCAACTTAGGGCTCGGGGTTTCCTGGAATAGGTGCCACCACCCTGCTGGGATTAGAGGGGAGAGGGACAGGGTTGTAGCCGCCTCTAAGGAATGACCCCAGTGCTTTCACCCCAAGCCTCAGCCTGGCCCAGCACGGTGGCTTTTGCACTGTATCACTTTGGCACCTCTCCCCGGCTGTGATGGAAACGGTGTTAGCAAGAGCAGTCCCTGGGAAATACTTACTACCAGGGGGAACAGTTAGGACACCCCACCCTGTACGGGGTGACAAAGACAAAGCTACTGAGAAGGTCTAGAGTTTTTAGTGAAGCTGTTTAGTTGTCACAGCACATCTAGATTCTGTGTGAAACAGCACACCTGTGCGGCAGGGCCCTGTGGCTCGTGTGCTCTGCCGGTTCGGTTTCATTCCACACAGACTGCGGCTACATGTCACCATATCAGACTTACTTCCCAACCAGTGAAAGGGCCTCGAGGACTACCCAGGGCAGCAGCGAGGAAGCCCATGGTCAGCGGGTATTAAAGGGCTGGGCAGGGGGATATGTATCCAGTGGGGCCGTGTCCCTGGGTGTTGAGAGGCAAGGGCAAGGAAAAGCAATTTTCAAGGCAGGGAAACGTGGCAGGGCAAGGCAGGGGACAAGGGGGAAATACGGTGAAGGAGGGCATGGCATTGTCAGTTTGCCACTGAAGTCCCTGGGTCTGGGGGCGGGGCCTGCGTGCTGGTGGTTGAAGAGAGAAATGATGGCAGAAGTGTACCAGCTTCTGCAGTTTCAGATGAAGAGGGGGTAGATGTGGCTCTCCACGTAGCTGGGGCAGATCCTGAGGAGCACACAGGTCGGTGGGGTGGAGACAAGAGACAGAGGCCCTCAGTGCATGTCGCCTGATTTGTCACCAGTGTGCATGGGAGTGGCTGTTCCTGGGGAAGCATGTGGAGCAGCCCCAGTGCCCGACATCCTCCTCTCTCTCCAGAAGCCCCTGCAGCAGCTGTGGAACGCCATCTTGCTTGTGGCCATGCTCTTGTGCACAGGCCTTGTGGTTCAGGCCCAGCGGCAGGCATCACGACAGAACCAGCAGGAGCCTGGAGGCCAGGTGGGAGCCAGATTGTGGAATCTCTTGTGCCCACAGCCCTTGGGCCTGCAAGACTGTGGCCATCCTTTTCTCACAGGGGGATTTGTTCACACGCCGTGTGGTTCGGAGACTGGCATCCCTCAAGACCCGGCGCTGCCGGCTGAGCAGGGCAGCACACAGCCTTCCGGAGCCTGGCATGGAGACGTGTGCTGTTTGTCTAGATAACTTCTGTAACAAGCAGGTTAGTGCCTGGGCAAGGTCAGCTACCAGCTCACCTGTGGCATCCCAGATCCTGCTCCTAAGACCCTCAACACTCCAACCAGGACTTTCTTCCAGTCCTCGTTATAGCTACCAAGAACATACCTTGGGAAGGCCCAGGAGTGCTCAGTGAAGAGGGCATGCGCCTGTCCCCATCTATAGCCCATGCCTCTCCCCTGCCCTGTAGTGGCTCCGGGTCCTGCCCTGTAAGCATGAGTTCCACCGAGACTGTGTGGACCCCTGGCTGATGCTACAGCAGACCTGCCCACTGTGCAAGTTCAATGTCCTGGGTGAGCATCAGGGGCTGGGGGAGGGGGGTCCTGGGCTAACCCTGAAGCCCAGCCTGATTCCTCTGTCCCTGCTCTTCCTTTTCCCCTACAGGGAACCACTACTCAGATGACTAACTGCCCAAGTGGAAATTCTGCACTTTGGGAAGGACCCTTCCCAGCCTACACTACAGGATGGTGGCTTGGACAGACCAGCTAGCCCTGTGGGCAAATCAAGGCCCCACCATACCATACCCATGATGGGTAGGAGGGACTCATGGCCCCAGGCTGAAGACACAGAGCCAGGACCACCAGGCAAGGAGAAGTCATAGAGCCCTTCTTTGCGACCCTGGGATATCTGTGTCTGCCCTTATAGATAAGCAGCTCACAGGACTCTGGGGAAAGAAAACATAGCCATTACATCTGTCTCCAGCATTCTGGGGCTTCAGTGATTGAATTTTATGCTATTTATTGGGGGATAAATTGAGGGAAAAGATGTGTGGCCATGGAACCCACTGGCATGACCTCATCCTATGGACTATAGCCTGGTCAAATCAAAGGTATGAGACTCCTCTACTACCTGCTGCCTGTCCAGCCGGACGACTCCAGTCTGGCTGGGATCAGAGGCCTTAGAAACCATCTAGTGCTGTATTTCTTGGTTGGGCTGAATGTTACTGACCAGGATACTTGAAGCCACAGAACATATGTGGTGCATCTGCCAAGGGCATCATTTAAAAAAACATTTGGGTAGGGAAGTTTTAATAGTAAAATAAACATGGATTATATTTTAACATAAGACATAAAATCTGTCCAGCTGTTTTAAGATGTTGAGCAAGAAATGGGTATGTGGTGGCATATGCCAATAATCCCAGAAACCTGGAGGTGGAGGCAGGAGGATTAACAGTCAAGGTCAGCTAGGCCTAGTGGTACATGCCTTTAATCCCAGCACTGGGGAGGCAGAGGCAGGTGGATCTCTGAGTTTAAGGCCAGCCTGGTCTACAGAGCTAGTTCCAGGACAGTCAGGAATACACAGAGAAACCCTGTCTTGAAAAACTCAGATAGATAGATAGATAGATAGATAGATAGATAGACAGACAGACAGACAGACAGACAGACAGACAGACAGATTAAAAATAAAAGAAGTTCAAGGCCAAACTGGGCTACTGGGCAGTACATGTAATTCCTTTGTACCTTGGCCTTTGGGTAGGTCCTCACACTTGAGAAGGGAAACCAGAGGATCAGGAGTTCAAGATCATCTTCAGCTGCATAGTGAGTTTGAGGTCAGTCTGGCACCTCTCAAAACAAACAAAATAGCAGTCACCTTGGCTTCTCTTACTTGGAACAGGGAGAATTCTTACAGTCCTTAAAGCTTTGCATTCCTCTGCTGCATGAATATGCCTTGCATAACCTTTAGAACACTGACTCTAAGAAGTTTTAAACCCTGTGAGTAGGTTGTGTTAAATGACCTTCAGATGAGAAAGTCAAGGGCTGGGGGCATGGCTCCTTGATAGAGCATTTGTCTAAAATGCACAAGGCCCTGAATTCAGTTTCCAGTGCTAAACAGTAACAAGAGAATGAGAAAAGCGTCTGGTCAGCTTATGAGCCCGTGGTGAGCAGGAACAAGTCAGAAACTGGAGGGGATCTATAGGGGAGACACACATTCTCTGCTGCATGCTCTCTCTCTCTCTCTCTCTCTCTCTCTCTCTCTCAACAGCATCTTTATGTAGCCCTTTGCTGTCCTGAAGCTTGCTTGCTATGTAGACCAGGCTGGCCTTGAACTCACAGAGATCTGCCTGCCTCTGCCTCCCAAGTGCTGGGATTAAAGGTGTGCAAATAAGAGGTCAAGCTAGAGCAGCGTGGCAATGAGGAGGACCTCAGCTCCACAGCCTAAGCCTAGGGATCAAGCTCTGCCTCTGCCAGGAGCTCGTCAGAGGCCCCTTTCCCAGAGCCATCTAAAGAAAATACCCGAGAGACACCTTGATTTTGGCCTCTGAGCAGAGGACCTGGCCAAACAACCTGAACGTCTGAACTTTTTGCTTGTTTTGTATAGTTCTCTGCCTGAGTCCTGTCTTCCCTATATAGTATAGGCTAGCCTCAAACTCTCAGTCCTCCTGTTTGGGAGGGGCCTGGCTTACCAAGTGGCAGAAGTGAGAGCTAATAAGTGGATGCTGAGTCAGAGGAGGCCTGGGGTGCTCAGCAGTAACAGGCCTCTCAGGGAGCTGTATCCAAAGCTGGATCTCTCCCTGGTAGAGTGGCTCAGAGCATCCAGTGTCCTCCAGAAACCCTGGGCTGTTAAGAGACAGAGCTGGGAGACCTGACAATGCCAGCCCACTGCACATACGACTTCCATTGACCCTTCAGTGTAAACTGAGGCACTCAACCTGGTGGCCTCCTCACCACATGAAAAATAGTGCCCCCCAGATGGCCAGGAGTGTGTGACCTTAGGAACCCTTGGGAAGAATTTATAGCCTGTCCTTTACAAACAAGGTGACTCGAGGCAGGCTAATGGCTTGCACTGCGTGCATGGTGTGGCTGGTACATCCTTTCTTGGTCTTGTGTCACCCTGAACTGGGGGAGCCCCAAAGTCTATTGCTCGTCAGACTATGGCTGGCTATGGTGTCCAGAGGCCTGGGTTTTCCTTTGCTGGTTTTGTCTTACTTGTCCCTAAAGGCTGCATGCTCCTCGCTGAGCTGCCTAGTGCCCTTGGGTTGCACCAGATGCGGAAGCCAAAGGCACTGCTCTTCTTTGCCTCCCTTGCTGGAGCAGAGGCAAGGTCCTGGCCTCTGGTTCCATGTTTCAGACATGCTCTCACACCCTAGCCCTACCCTGAGTGTTGGTCAATGAACCCAGGGCTCAGGTGCTGCCCTCTGTATCCTCTCCCTGTACAGCACCTGTCAGGATGGAAACATGAAGCTCCCACTCAATGGCAAGCCTCTATTGGCCGGTGAGCTGCCTGGTGGGATCACAGAGGCCTTTGTCCAATAAGGAGGGGAAGGTCTTTTCCCCCAGCTCAGCCACGCTGAGGCCAAGATTGCTGTGGGCAGATGGCTGGGGCTTTTATTCCATGTGGGGTTGCTAGCCACCTGCCCTCCAGCCCTACCCTGCTTCAGGTTATGTGGGTCGCTCCTGGGGCTGGTATGAAGAGCCAGCCTGACCTCTGTTCGGTGAGAGTTTCCTCCTGAGCCTGGCCAAAGCGCGGATGGGGTTCTGGGTGCAGGTGGCTGAATAGGTTCTGTCCTCCAAAGAGGACTTGCTGGGCCAGCTGCAGGGCTGTCGAGAAGGGGATGCTCGGGGCCCCCCTGGGTGGGTCCTGCCCATACTGCTTGCTCTGCTGCCAGGAGACTGCCGTCTGTCCATGGGCCTGAGGGAGGACCAGAACACAAAAATTCCCTGTAATCAAGGGGACCCTACCAGTTATCTGTCTGACCTCAAGGAAAGCCTTACTTACCCTGGAGATGTACTGTGTGCCTGGGTGTCCTTATAGGGAGGGGACCAGAGCTGGCCCTGCGGGATCATCTGCAAAGAAGGTCAAGCTCAGAAGGGCTCAGGAGTTCCTCCCTACATTACAGAGCATGCCATAAAATGGATGGCAAGGAAGAATCCCCAACCAAACCCTCAAGTTCTCTTCAGCAAGAAACAGGGCTTGCAAAGCCATCCAAGGGCCATCCTCAGCTGCAAACCCTTGGGCAGGCAATATATATTGACTCTTGAAGTAAAAGAAAGGGATTGTGAGCTGGAAATCTCCTTCCGTCTCATACCTAAAGCCACAGGCCATGAGGCAGGTTCTCATAGCACAGTAAGGACCCCTTCCAAACACCCAAGCCCCCTCAAAGGCTCACTTTGAGACCTCCCTGTTGGGCCACCTCTCGGATTTTGGTCAGCATTGACTGGAGCCGCCTGTTCTCTTCCTGGAGGACCTGGATACGGATATCATTGGCTTGCACTTGCTTCTCCATGTCATGGGTGACATTGCCAGAGCCTGCAAAGACATATTTGGGGCCCTATCTCACTGGGCCCTGCTTCTTGTGTCCAATTGGACAGGGCACAGGGTGGGCAGGGCGGCACCCAGGCGTCTCATTCCATCTTCTTTCTGAGGCTTTTGTTCCCTTCCTGTTGCCAGGGGATGTGACATTTTAGAGTTTGAGAGCTGGGTGAGTCCTATGACTTGCAGGTTTGGATACTGAGTAAAAGAATGGATCTTAGGGATGGAGAGGTGGCTTAGTGGTTAAGAGCACAGGTTGCTCTTCCAGAGGTCCCCAGTTCAATTCCCAGCAACCAGGGTGGCTCACAACCATCTATCATGGGATCTGATGCCCTCTTCTGGTATGCAGATGTACATGCAGACAAAGCACTCATACAAGTAAAATACATAAATAAATTGAAGGGGGGAGGGAGGGAGAGAAACAGGGAGGGAGGGAGGGAGGGAGGGAGGGAGGGAGGGAGAATCTTATTCAAGACCACTTGTCTGTGGCCTGTCAGAGAGGTACTGTAGGCTGTGCAAAGGCGCACTGGGATTTGAGTCACAGGAAGTCATCATGTATGTTCTTCTTTAGACTGTGGTTGATGAATGACAACGTCCAGCCCTATACAGCTGAGCGAGCTGATGCCCATGCTAGAGCTCACTTTCCTGGTGTGCAAGAAGGTTGTTGGGCTGGAGAAACAGCTCAGTGAATAAGAGCACTAGCTGTTCTTTCAGAGGACCGGGGCTCAATTCCTGGAACCCACATAGTAGCTCACATCCATCTAACTCCAGTTCCAGAGGATCTACCCCAACTTCTGGCCTTCAGGCACCAGGCACCAACGTAGTGCATAGATATGTATGTAGCCAAAACATCCATACACAAAAAGAAAAGAAAACAAATGTTTGTAGGGCTGGTGAGATGGCTCAGCAGGTAAGGAAAGATGCTGAAACCAAGCCTGGCCATCTGAGTTTTGTCCCTAGACTCATGGACCCATATGTCAAAAGGACAGAACCAACTTCCACATTTGTCTTCTGGCCTCACTTCTGCTGTGGCAGGTGCAGACACAAAATAAATGTACAGGAAAGGCTTTTAACAAGAGAGTCGAGGGTAGCCTCAGGAGGCAGTTGTGGGCAGCAGAAAGGCTTGGCACTTAGTGCTCAGGAGTGGCAACTCACTGGGACCTGCTGAGCAACAGTGGATCTCCTGATAGCTCTGGGGAGGGACCCATCCATCCTAGGGCCTCAGAAGTCTAGAGATGCTGGCCAGAGACTGAGATTGCCTAACAGGATCCTGTGCCAGTGTAGGTGCCCTGCGCTCCCAAGCATGGGGTCCAAGACACTGAACAGCTAGGAGATATGTCCTGGAAAAGGTTCCCATGTCGTATGACACCAGGAAAGGAAACACGGGGAAGCCGAACAGGCCTGACACGCGATGTGAAGAACATGTAGTAAAGAAAGACATACCTGAGTTCTACAAGGGCAGCTTTGCTCAACCTGTGGGCTGTGGCCCCACTGGGGGGGGGGTCAAGTGCGTCTTTCACAGATGTCACACATTACAATTCATAACAATAGCAACTGTATTAAAGGGTCACAACATTACAAAAGAACCACTGTGCTAGGGTGAAAGGTGCCGTCACTTTGAATTTGGAGTTTTGTGTGTTGTCTCCACAGAGAGGTGCACAACATACGAAACACTTTGGGGCATGGCGTCTCTAGAACCACACAGCGCACCCTCCTGCCCCCAGCCTCCTCTTGCTGGGATGACAACAGTACCAGGTCATATCCAGCAGAACCCCAGGCCCCTACTTTGGATCTGGGCCTCCGTGTGCTGGTGA